ATGAAAACTGTGCGATAGGGCTGTGCATGCGCTAACTTCCCATTTTTGTCTTGATTTCCTGAGAAATTGTGTTTCTGAGGATTGCTGCTCTATTGTCTGTAGACAGATAGTCATAGCTTGCTTTTTAAATTTAGTCATCATTGTTATTATTAACGTATTTACCATCATGTGCTTGGGAGCTAAGTGGTCCCTGTCCTCAAGAGGTTGAAAATGTAATTAGGGAGGGGGGGATAATTCCATAAAAAGATGGTTAAAATGTATAAGAACCCTTGTTGTAAGCCAGTGAGTAATCTATGCAAAAGTGCTGTGAGAATTCATCACAAATAAATAATCAGTCATGGGTTGGTCATTGGAGAAAGACCTCACAGAGAAGGCTGGCTTGAAATTTTAAAAAATTTATTAAGGCACGAAAGCCAGCAAGCTGGGATTTGAAAGCAATGTGGTACTAAAGTAGGCGTGGGCGTGATGGGAAGGGGCGGGGGTGGGAAGCATGCTCAGGGCCAAGGGGACCTGGGAGCAAAGAAGAAAACTGCCCAAGGGTAGACCCATGGCAGGAATGGGAGGTTCAGAAGGAGCATCACGGGAGAGAAGTCTTAAGAGAGTGTTTTGAGCCATCTGGGCTTTGAGTTTGAGGTTCCAGGGACTGGACTGCGCCCTGTGGACATTAGGAACAGTTATGACTGGCACCTGGGGTAGGGTGGGGGGAAGAGGAGTGTGCAAGACAGGGGTTTTCAGGAAGAATCTGCCTCTGTGGATGGGAGAGGGTAGGGCTCAGTAGGCAGACTGGGGGAAAGACTGGCCCGGTTCGGATTGTGGAGCCGGTTGGAGGGAGAGGAAGAAAGGGCGGCGATGAAAGTTGATAGGGGCCGATTAGATACTCGGGTTCTGCGTCTGAGTGACAGGGGTACGAACATGGTCGTGAACAGAAATAGCAAAGCTGATGTGCGAGGTCGGGTGACGCGTTCAGTTGGGCGCCTGGAGTCTGAAGTCTCGGCAGACACCCACGTGGAGAGGTCCGGGGGCAGCCGGGGTCCCAAGAGCATCTGTGGACTTTTTTCTGAGCGGGACGGGACCTGACAGGTCGTCTCTTCCCTCCAGCCTCCTCGGTTTACAGATGAAGAAACGTGTGCGTGTTAAGTGATGGGATCTTTATCATGTTGCATTTCTGAGGCGGATCCGATTTCAAAATGCAGAGGAATTCTAGTTTTACAAAACGAAAAGGCCTGGGGGAAAAAAGATCTGAAAGATGCCCGTGTGGGACGAAGCCTGACACTTCAGGCTGGAAACTTAAAGAGGAAAAAGCACGTGGAGTGTGCGGAGGGGACCGAGGGGGCCACAGGGCTGCCCTGAGGGTGGGAGGGGGCGGAGGAGCAGCCCCCGCCCAGGAGGATGCGGGGAGGGGCGCGGTGGCGGAGGTCAGGAAACAGTGCCCCTTCCTGCGGAAGGACATGAAGGGATGAGGCCTGAGGAAAGGCCACTTGCCTTGATTAGGAAGTGGTAACGATGTTAGCAGCGATAGGCACCATCGCTTGCCAGAACAAGCGCCACCCACGGGCCCAATTGTGGGATCTTTACAACGGCTGTGTGAGGTCGGTATTACTTTATTTCCATTTTACAGATGAGGAAACTGAGGCAAGGGGTGGTTAACTGTCTTGCCTGGGGCCAACTCGGCTCCTGAGGGTGGAGCCAGAGTTTGCCAGTGGAGCCTGGATTCAGGGGAGTGATGAGGACAGCGGCAAGCCGTTCAGACTGTTGAGGGAAGAGAGAGGAGGCGGGTGGTGGTGCAGGGTTACTTTCCAGATACTGAGCAGAGTGTGATTGACAGACGTCAGAGAAGCCGACAAAGAGAAAGTGGGAGGCCAGGTCCTAGCAGAGCTGAGACCGCAAGCTCCAGTTAAGCCGGGAGTCTTGAGTAAGAAGAGAGAAAACACCTTTTCTTCTGAGACTGTTTACTGTTTCCCAGCCTTTCGCTACCAAGGCCCTTCTCCACCCACCAGGGACCCCAGATTTTCAACGATAGTATCAACTTCAAGCTTTTATATTAATTGAAGTATAATTTATATGCAAAGCAACATCCGGACCTTGAGGATACTGTGTAGTGAGTTTTGACTACGGCTTTAATATATTAATTCACTTCCCATTTTTGTTATTCAAAGATTCATAACATTACCCGTCAGAATCTAGGATGATCACAGCAGATTAATGCAATCTACCCAAAAGCAAGGACTCCTGACATTTTAGCTGACCTGTTTAGCCTGTTTGAGGCCTTTTGAAATAAGGAACAGCAGCTCATAGATCCATATTATTAGCATCTGAGAGCCCCGTGATCCAAGGACCCCACGCGTGTAAAAATAGGCTCAGGCCGTTGTGGGAAGAGGTGGCAGGATGGACAGGACCATCACTGGCCTCCCGCTTAACACGTTCTCAGGACCACTGGCCACTGTAATTGATTCCCAGGACCTGAGCCAGGAGAAGTATGATCTTACTCTTCAGAATGAAAAGCCAATGTGATTCATAACAGTTTTAAAATCAAGTACACATGCCTCGATATTTAGTGTCATTAAAGAATCCTCGTTATATTTCAGGTGTGATAGTGACATGGTTCTCGCCATTTAGAGCTATGTGCTGGAATATTTACAGATGATAGGATATCTGCGATCTGCTTTAAAATAATTCTGTGTGATGGTGGGGGTGACACTTCAACAAGACTGGCCTGAAATGATAATTGCTGATACATTGGTACATGGGGGTTCACTGTTCTATTCTGCCCGCTTTTATATATGTTTAAAAGTTCTCGAGGGGGAGGGTATAGCTCAGTGGTAGAGTGTGTGCTTAGCATGCACAAGGTCCTGGGTTCAATCCCCAGAATCTCCATTAAATTTTTTTTAAAATCTAATTACTTACCACCCCCCCAAAACAAAACAAAAACAAAAGAGAGACTAAGGAATTTGTTTTTTAAAAAGTTCTCACAATAAAAATGTTTTAAGGGAGGAAAAAATAAAATTAAGACTATCAGTCAAGAGTTTGGTTGCATATAACAGAAATGTTTCTATGTATGTTAAGCAAAAGGAATTTAATACAGGGAATCAAAGCCTGTAAAATTGTTAGAAAAGATAGCAGAGCAGGCTTTAGGCTGGACCTCTGGGAATAATGACCAGAACATCACCACTCGTCTTCCTGTGCCTTCACCAGGAAGCCAGGAAGATGGTTTCTCATTGTTTGAACTGCGTGCTCCAGGAACACATCACTTAGGCCAATCTGACCATCAGGGATTCACAGCCACAGTGGTTGGCTCCAGTGATATCTGCTGCACCTACTGGAATGGTACCAGCAAAATGGATGCCTGGCCCCCACCACTTTGCTCTCTGATTGGTGGAATCTAAGTCCTGTCCAGAACCCTAGGTACGGGGTTCTAAGAATGTGGGAAATGGACTTTTCAACTTTCCATCCTCTACAGAACTGGATGGGAAAGTGGTGGGAACAAATACCAAGCGGGCCCACCTATCACAAAGTATATTAGCAATTAAAATGGTGTTTTTGCTTATTTATCCCCAAAAGTAATTTTGGAC